TTTTTTTTTTTTTTCTTAAGGTCAGCCAATTTTCAACCCTTTGGAAGCCAAATTCTCCTCATAATTCAAAGTCTTGGCCGCGTTCAGAAGCATATCCACTCCTCCGCCCGACTTGTGTAAAACCTTTTTCCCCTTTAGTTTCTCATCAATCCCTCCCATTCTCTGCATACTCACATACATCCGCTTAGCTTCTTGTATACGAGCCATCCCACTTTCGCAATTTACGCAGAACCACTTCCCTTTTGGTACTGAATCCCGAGATGGGACCATGCAGTAAATGTGATACGCATGATCACATCCGTCACACAAGACAATCTTGTCATCATCCCGGTCAGTTAAGCAGGCCCTACATATACAAGACGGGCAGTACCAACACGCGCCGTGAGATACCAACTGCTGGCCTGTCAGGCACTTCACGTGGTAAAACGTGTCGGGACAAAATGGATGTCCACATATTTTATATTCTTCTTCATTTCTAATCTCGTTCATGCACACCTTGCATTTGGTGTAAAATCCATTCGATCTCTTGTCTAAATCCTCTGTGATCCTGCCGTCATGCAAAATATTGACTTTGTTATTGCCATCACCCGATTGAAAGGATATAGTGGAGTTCAGCCTCTCACAGGCTACACAGTTTTCGTGGGGGGATTCATCGTCTTTGGATGTGCAATCTGCACAGTACCAGTTACTAGTGGGAATTTCTTTGACCGGGGGCTCGATGCATGAGATGTGATACATGCCCTCGCACGAGTCGCAAACTAGGCCGCTTCTGTCATCTGCCTGTTGTCGGCACCGCCTGCAGGTGTGGGCCCCGTCTGGGATGTGTGCGTCCGTCTGCTCTGATTTGGTGCTTGGGATGGGTTCTTGTGAGGGAAACTGTTATCATCACAAAGAAGATAATCAAAGTTAAATGTCTTGATATGTGTGTGTGTGTGTGTGTGTGAGTGGACTTTCTTTTCCCTTGGACCCTGAATGCTGAATCTATTGTTCCCTTTGTTTCATTTGGATGTATTTATTATCTAGTAAGGTGTACGCAAATTTCCACTGAGAGTTTTGAAGCCTTTCGATCGCAAGAAATTAAATATATTAATGAAATGAAGAAGTAATGTGTGAAGAACTATCAGATATTTTTAATTTACTTATGCAGCTAAAGTTGATGTGTCTATCTAGCGGAGTTCAAAAGTAGAGACAATACAGGACAGGGATTGTCTGAAGTTAAAAAGTATCTCCAAGAAACCAAAAATGAATAACGGTACTAAGAAACTAAGAGAAGTCTAGAACTTTGAATAGATACTGCCAAGCAAGATGTTACCGGAGAGAACATGGACAAATATTATTTGAAAGCATCACAGTTTGAAAGTTTTTCTGCTCAAATCAAGAGAAACAATACACAAATGTCTGTGAAAGTTTTTTTGGTCATCTTCATATTTTCTCATTAAACTTCAAAAATTGAAGGAGAAGGAATCATTCACTTTAAGAGTATAACAGTAATACAAGAGCCCAGCACAAACCCAAGCATCTGCAAGTTAACACATTACCTGTTCATGGAAGGAAGACAATGTTTTGTCTGAGAGGCACTTTGCAAGAGCAGTTATATCAGAACCAACCTTCTGAAGTTTAGCCCATACCTACACAAGAAATCAAGGACCTGAGGACTTGATATATATATATATATATATATATATATATACACATCACATAAAGATAAAAAAACTGGTCCTCAACTCCAAGTACAACACCAGCACCGGACCTATAACTGCCAGTCCGCACACACTTCAAACAGTAAATTTATTATGCTGAGAGAAGATCATTATCAAACAATTATCAGATGAAGGTAAGTACCTCCTGGATATCTGAATGAAATAGCATTGGTGAACTTTCATAAGCATTCTCCTTCATCCTTGAGTTTATTCGGGTAAAATTAAAAACATTATCAGTCTTCCATCCTTGAAAATTTTCAAGGAGTAAGCTGCATAACTGCGAAAATGTTTCAGACATTATAATATCAGAAAGGGTTCGCTGACAGAGCTCTGTGAATGGGCAATGCTTAGATTCATCGCCAGATCCTTTGGGTTTCACATCCAAATAGCCCCCAGCTGCCTTCTGATGACCATGTAATGTCCCTGGCTGTGAGATGCATTTGCTACAATCTTCAATATACTGACCTGGTTCCTGTATAATGGTAATGGTCAATCAACATCAACATCAACATCAACATACCCAGTATATTCCCAACAGGTTGGGGTCTGGGGGGTCAGTTGTACGCAGACCTTACCCTTGTAATTATAATGGTAATGGTATTTGAGAAATATCAATACAGGGTTTTCTGGTTTCTCAAAAGACAAATAGACCAATTTCAGTCTCTGAATGCACGCAATATGCATGCATGGGTACCAGCTCGAGTCTAGTAACCCAAAAACAGGAGAAAAAAAACTAATAAATAATAAAATTGTAAGCTCTCTCCTCGGCGAAAAAATACCTCCACTCTAGTTCTGCTACCACTTCCTGGATGGAAGACATATGCGCTTTGAATGCATTTTCTCAAACTATCTTCAGTATCCAGTGACTGAGATATTTGTTCTAAAATAACATTTCTTTGGTGCATGAGTAAGCAGTCATCGGTCAAGGCAGTTGTAGGATGTGACCCATGCTGACAAAATTGAGCTCGTTCATGCGAGTAATTCGTGGACTGCAACATCAAACAAAGATGAAATGGAGAGTTCATGAAAATTTTATAAAATTCGAGGGCTGAATTAACGGATCCCTAGCTGAGCTCAAGCAGTTTCATGGTTATGCAAAAATATCCAAAAGCTTTTTGGTGCTACAGATTTTCTAAGATTCCTACTTCAATATAATCCAACCAAAAACTGTCTACAAATAAGCATTTTGGTATATTCAAACGATACAGCGTGCTTCAAATCTAAAAGGGAAAATAAGAATTAACAAAGAAGAAAAGGAAAGGAAAAAAATGACTGCAAGGAAAGGATTCCCCCAGGATGATGATAAAGTCACCTATCCAATTTATTCAATCAAGCGGATCCCCGAGTAGTTTACTGGACAAACTGAGTTGTCATCTGTGATTAAGAGTGCTTAATAGATCATCAACTGAAGAGCCCCGTCATTCAACTTATATTTATTATCAATGCAAATGTAAGGACTTAGCAGGAAACTTTTCTAGAACGTCTTCCTTAGGCTATATATCAAGATGATCTATTGAATCAAACTTAATTTTTCTGTAAAATGAAAATAAATAACGGCGGGTCCAAATTCAGGGAGCCTTCTCACTAGCTTGTTGCCAGAGACTTCTACTTACACCGGTTAAACGAGATGGCAAAATATAATCCGAACAATTTCTTTCATATTCAACATCATATACAAGCAATTGTAAGATCAACACATACGACAGCCTTCTGAAACTTTAATGTACCTTCTCACTAGGTTGGCCCACTGAATCTTGAGACATTTTCTTATTCTCTGCAACCTTGGCAATCTTCCGCCTCTTGTACGTAAGCAAACCCTCACCGCCAGATTCATTCGAACAAGTTTCTCTACTTACTGCAACACCATTTGCCTTCATTGCCTCGTCGTTAGGCCCCATTGATACTCTTCGAGAACCACTTTCACTACTACACCCTTTACTCTCTTCTTGTGTACCCACCATACCTAATCACAAGTTACTGAAGCCAAACAACCAGCAGTAGAGCCATAGCCAACAACCAAACCTTAAATTAAACCACAAATTCAGCCAACTGCCCTGCCAAATTCACATAAATTTGCACAAAAACAATGAAAATTCAAGTTAAAATGCAAGCACCAATTAACCGAAACCCCACCCAACACGCAGCAGATCGAGTGTATATATAAACCTCTAGATTACTTCAAAAATTCCACAACTTATGTATGAATGGAGTATATTTCAAGGCTTACCCGAGTTGAAGAACAGAGCCTGAAAGGCGAATAATCTCTTCAGCTACCGGAATTTGGAACCCTAAGTGAGAGAAAGTGTGTGTTAATCTTCTGTTAAACAACCCCAAGGCGTATTATCTCCGAGAGGGCTTTTTTTGGATTTGAAACCTCGAGACTCAGGTCGTTTTGTGGAGTAATTTATATATTTATTAATAAAAAAATAATAAGTGGACCAAAAACAAGA